AGCTATGGGTGATGTTACAGAGTCCTGCTTGCATGCACGTGTTAAACTCAGATTTAAGGTGAACACAGAGAAAAATCCTCCTGAGGTCACGACTCCAGGAAGAAAATACATTTTTTGTATGCTTCAGGGACATTAATATAAGGATCTGAATACTTCTTTCACTGTGTTTAACCGAAACCAAAGGCTAAACTTCATCGAGGTTTGTTTAACAGCAGTTATGATTGTTTGTGCTTCACAGCTGACCAGTCAGGACAAAACCGCTCAGGTGATTCAGAGGGCGCTGGAGAAGCATCACCTTGAACACATGAACTGGCAGGACTTCACCCTGACTCAGGTCATCTCTCAGGAAAGAGGTCAGAACAGGACAGCTCTCTGATTCAAAACATTGCTTAAGTACTGCCAACTTCTAGAATTCACTTCTGACGATTCATCCTAATTGTTCTATTTACAGAGCTGCTGATACCCGACAAAGCAAACGTCTTCTACGCCATGTCCACAACAGCAAACTTTGACTTTGTCCTGCGCCAGTACCACAAGGGCCAGAAGAAGCCGCTGAGAGCTACTTCTAGTCTGGGACGGTTCACAAAGTGACACCTCTGATGTCCAGACTCAGTGACTGGCAGGTTGAACTCAGGTTAAAAGATGCTCCGGGGAAAAGGGGCTTTATTTTTAGCAGTTGTTTTCCAAGAAAGGTACCTTCTCTGCGAGCCGTTTCTTGGATGCTGACAGAGGTGAAAACATGATGTCTTTTTACGGAAATATTGCAAAAGCACTTTATGAAGAGGAGCGCTGATCTCAACAGGAACTAATGGAGCTTAAAAACCACGTGGAGCTGATGCGCTTTTACGGGCTGTTGGAACAAACAGAGTCCCGCTATCACACCAAAAAATATTCTACAAAAAAAATCATTCCTTTCCCAGGAGTGAGTTGGTACATAATGATCGATGGCTGCCTCTCGTTGTCACCACTAATAACTCTACAGAACTCCCAGAGAACCGGCTCCCTCCCGCGACGCGACACGTGTCGACACCAGTGACCTATTTCCACGCGGACATTGAGAAATGACTGGCCGCTTCCCAACGCAGCTGGGTGCCTTTAATAACCCGCGTGTTAAAAAGGGAATCGAGGTCAGTTGCTGTGCGCGCCGGGCGTAATGAACTCCCGTGGAGGCTGTCAGCCAGTCGAGATGAGGTCGCCCTCATGCGCCGCCGCCGCCGTGCCATCCGAGAAGTGGGCAGGGACGTCCTCGCCAGGGATCGCTGTGTACCCTGGGAGTTTCGGACCGGCTCCTCCGGCATTGCTGTGATACTCGCTGTGTGGCGGCTGGCAGCCCCGACTGGAAGGATGGCATTCCTGAGGCTGGGTAACCGCGGCGACAGCAGCAGCAGCAGCAGCAGCAGGGACTTTGATGGACTGGAGGGGATGTGCACATGGCTGCTGTATGCAAACGAGACGACAGCAAAGGCTGTTTGTGCTTTCAGTGTTAGTGCTGTGCTTTTAAAATTTCATAAGTATTTATTTCCCTCCACTGTGATTCACTTTCGACTGCACCTTCGTTCGATTAACACATTTTGTCTCCTGACTGGTAGGAAAATATTGAAAAAAAAAAAAAAATCAAAACACACTGTACTTTGAAACATCTACCACGAGTGTGACTGTAAATATTTTAAAGATGTCTTATTTCCTGATGAATCCTGAGAATATTTAAAATGTTAACAGTGGAATTTGCTGTTTCTTTCTTTCTTTTTTTATTTACTGAAATTGTATTAAATAAATTTGTGTCTGGATGTAGCTGGTGCTTGAACGGCTTGATTGAAATCCTCACGAGGAGTTCGTGCAGATGTAATCATTTCAGTCAGGTCGGCTGACGTCAAGACTGTGGTGAGACGGTCGATAACGATCATGTGTTCAGACAGTCGGACCTCCGGGGAGCTTTGGAAATAGAAGAGGAGTTACACAAGGAGTAGACTCACTAGTTTCAGCGCTCAGAGGTCCGCTTGGAAGGTCCGGGAGTCGAGAACCTTGCTCAAGGCCACACATGGCTGTTGAGTAAATGAACAGACGTCTCATTGACCTCTTCTGCCCACAACGTCTCTGGAAACACTTCCTCGATGGCTCGCTCATCCTGACGCCGCAGTAACCCCTCGTCTGGCACACGAGAACTGAATGAATAGTTTTTCTAGGCCTTTAAAAACTGCTGTTTGTTCACTCTTGTGATTGTTGAAAATAATGTCACAGTTGTAAAAACAAAATGGAATAAACTATTTTTAATCTACAGGTTGATTTGAATTCTAAAACTCTGTCAGCACCTTCCTAATACACACTGTTATAGTTGTTTTTTTGTCTGACTTCTTTCTGTTATTAAGCCTAATGGAGCCAGGGGGAATTATAGATTATTGTTGCTTACTTTTAAAAGCTTGAAAATTAGAATTAATATTAGTATTTTCTTTGAGTTTAGTATTTATAGATTAAGAGCAACAGTTCTGAAAATACTCTAACCAAAACAAATAATTTTTGTTTTTTATAATCTCACAGAAAATGTATGTGATACACTTTACTATTTACTTTATTCTACTAATATAATACTATACAAGAAAAGATAAAGATAGAAATTAGGAATAAAACGAGCATGTGCAATATAAATAAAATGAACTGAAACCACTGAAAAAACATCTATACATACATAGAAAGCAATCACTCACATATTTGAGATGTGTAGCACAGATTGGACTATATTGTAACTCAAGATTCACTTATTTTGTGGGTGTTTCAACCATCTAATTAGCTTTCTTCAGCCTCCTTTAAAAAAACTGAGTTCATATCTTGAAGTATATTTTTTTTATTAATTCTTTTTAATTATAAATCAAAACAAACTAACACCACACAAAATTAACCAATGTAATACGTCTTAGTTATTCAAAGTCAACTTAAAAAAAAACAAAAAAAACTTTATTAACTGAGCAATTCAACTTCGAAATTCTTCAGTTTTAATAAAAAAAAAAAGACGCAATTTTATTCTGCAAACATTTGGAGCTAGATATTAACGAGACCAATAAAGACATGCATAAATACACAAATAAGCATTTATTTATTTAAGGAACACTGATAAAATTAATACAAATTTTCCCGAACACGTTTTTAAAGAGCTTTTCCGGGTCTCCTTACGCATGACGTCACTGCCTGTGCGTGCTACGTCACACTCTCGGCACCGCCCGACTCTTTTAATTTTACGGGTTAAAACCACCTTTTTTAGGTGAAGTTAATGTTTTTGCCGCAGACAGAAGTGTCGTCCTTCCCACTGATGGCGTCTCCCAGCCAGACACAGAGAAGAAAGCTGCTCACTCACGGTAAGACCAAGTTTAGCTCCTCAACAAGCTGCTAACGCCTCCTGCAGATGCTTCCACACAGGTGCACGACACGCTGCCATCAGACTGTTAACATCCACTCAGGCTCTGTGGCATCTATTAAAAATACTAAACAAGTCTGCTGATTGTGATTTGGCATTAACGTGACAAGAGGAAAAGTTGCAGGAGTTGTTGAGAGGAGGTTTACTGTTGGGGCACAGGTGGCAGGAGCTTCAGTCACAGGAGCTGCTCACCTGGATGGTGTTTGAACCGAGGCTAAAATTAAGGCTCGTCCAGGTGGTGTTGATCCTGAGCGTTTAAGTAAAAAGTTTTTAAGGTTCTTAAAGAAGTTTCATCTCTCATCTAAGAGGCTTCTTCAGTTCTACAGGTGTAGTCGACCAAAGGAAATCATGGTGGACTTAAATAGAACCAACTCTTCAACCAGTCAGCTGGTTGTGGGAAACAAAAGTCTGCATGTTTACCAACATCAACATTATTCCAGTGCACTGAGTACGCTCTACCTGCAGCCTTATTGGCCCAAATGAATTCATGAATTACAAATAAACATAAATAGTGTTGCCATTTTGTACTGAAACAATAAGAACAAACTCAGATCAGACGAGCTGTACCTGCCCATATTCATATGATTTCTAAAAATAGAACTACATCAACTGGTGATGTTGTTACAGGAGCTATTGAAGAATCATCAAAACAAATTAAATCAAACTTTATTTATAAAGCACTTCTCATACAATAGAGTAGCGCAAAGTGCTTCACAGCATTTAAAAACATTAAAATAAAAGAAGATGCAAACAAGTTAACCGATGTGTTATTTAGTTTGGGGCCGACTCTGAGGAAATGTTAGGTAAACATTAGGGATGTACATTGGGGACCGATATTGCCATAAAAATTTAATATCTGTCAATATCATTATCGTTTTTTGCATATTATAATGCCTGGATTTACTGGCGTGCAAATGATGATGACAGGAGATATGTGATGTTACCCAAAATTAGTTAAACAGCCCACATGTATTGGTATCGGTTGATACTGGATTCAGAAATTGAGAGTTGGACAATTTCGGCATATCGGATATCGGCAAAAAAAAGCCAATATCGGACATCCCTCGCAGCCTAAATGTTAGAAACCAGCAAGGTAGACGTAGCAGTCTCCATTAGCTCAGGTGAGTTTAAAGTTGTACAGATGTGTTCATATTTGGTCTGGTTCTCTTGCTACCATAAATAGTAGATTTGTCCCAGAAGGGTTTTGATGTAGAGCCTTTCCCCCCTATTTAAGTAATTGTCCAAACAGTGACAAATTTGGTCAGATGGGATTGGAACCCGAACCCCACAAAAGTGACATCTGCATTTAGATCTGTGGGTGAAACATCAGAAATGTGGTCGACGGCCAAGATTTAATGACTGCGATGCTTGTGTGTTAGTATGTAAGAAAGAACGGAAATGAGAATGTGGATGTGATCAGACCGTCAGCGATGTTACAGTAGGACTCATAACAAAGACAAATGCACATTCAGTGGTGTTTAAACCATCGGCTCTGCTCTACAGCGATGTGATCAGATGAGTCATCCTGCATTATATTCACGACCTCCACATTGAGGGGATCCGGGGGCTTAGTTGTTCTGTAGGGGGGTGTGTTTTGCTGGCATGGATTAGGCCCACGTGTCCCCTTAGAATGAAGGATCAGTGCAAATGAATACAAAGTTGTTCTGCGTGATCATCTTTCCCCCATAATTAAACATTTCTATCCTGATGGGAGCGTCTCTTGCTTCCAGCCAGAGGACCAGAGTCACTGAATGCTTTGATGACAATGACGTGAATCAAACACCGTGATCTTTACAGTCACCAGTTGAACACTTTTGGTAGACTGAGTGCTCTCCACCACAATTGTCTAAACACTAAATAAGAGGAATATCTTTTGGAAGAACAGTGTTCATCCCTCCAGTAGCGCTGAAGCATCTCTGGCAGCAACAAGTTACTAAGATAATTTTTTTTCCTTTAATTTATCAGCTGTTTGTAGTTCCCCTCATGGTTACAAAATCCTCAATGAGTCGATTCGTTCGTTCATTGACCACAAGGTGGCGCCAGAGAGCCGTGCGCTCACACACTGGTGGTTTTATTTACCAGTCAGCTGCACCGACACAAAGACCCCACACGGCTGCAGTCGTGTCTCGGCGGCTGCAACTTCGCCGAGCACATTTGGTTTCTTGAAATATTAAGCGCTGTTGTCGCTTTAACCGCCGCAGAGGTGCTGTGTCTGTGCATATTTTAATGGTGAACAACAGAAGGTTGCTTTTGCACGACTTTTTGCTTATGGAGGCAAATTTATTATCTCCCAAATAGAAAACATAAGTTCCTCGACCGCAGCAGCCGCTCAGTTGGATGGAGGACAGGTCAGGACAGGACCTGAAAGGCGTCCGTCCTCTGTTGTGTGCTGCCGGACCATCGAGCATCTCAAAGCACTTGGCTGCAGGAGATGCACACTCAGCAAAGGGATGTGGGCTTGGATTCATTAGATGAGGACTTGCCTCACGATGTGTGTATGTGTGCGGGGTGGGGGGGTGGTGGATGCATAGGTCAGCAGTTCTGGAGGAGAAACAGGACACTGGCCCTCATCTCATACTTTCTCATGTATTATGTATGGCCGTGATGTCCGGCTGTGAGCCCAGCTGTGTGTGTGTGTGTGAGCTGCACACGAGGCTGCTCGTCGTGTCAGTTCTGCCCTTAGACCGACCGAAAGATCAAAAATCATATTCATCTGTCTTTGGAGTTGTGCACTGCAGGCCAGATGAGCCGTATCTGGATTTGTCCGGGAAATCGGTGCAGCAGGTCTTTAATGAAGACTGATGAGACACGGAGTTTGGCTGTCAATAAAATCGATGATCATCACCTCCGTTGACCTCAGAGCGTTTGAGGAAGTTGGAGGCGTTTCACTTCACATCTGCTCACAAGCCTGACTCGAAGGTGTGAAATCTGAAGTCATTTCCTCTGTTGCTGGCCTGCTGTGCATTTGTTTAGTTTTTTAAAAATAAATGATGTTTCAGATCCACATACGGTCGTGACATGTTGACGTCCGGTTGCTTTACATGTCTGAAGTCTAAAATCTGGAGATCGGTGTGTGTTTTAGTGTTTGCAATCATCTGCAGCATCCAGAGCTTCTGTCTTGTTTGCACAAAGTGTGATATGACGTCGCGTCCTGTGTACGAGGTAACAAGGAAGTGTGGCAAACTCATAGTGGCACAAAGCTGCAGGTAGATGCTTTATGTGAAGCTATGTGCTCTCATTTCATTTGTCGATTATACCCCTGAACTATTTTTGTTGTATTGTCACCATGGTTACAGCATGTCATGTGACAAGCTTGATTGCAGATGTCCCACACGTGTGCAGTAAATAAGGTATGCTCAGTGTTCGCACAAAAACACAAAACGTGTGCTGCGATTATGTCCCGTTAAACCTGTGCAAAAGACGACTCTGCTAACACTTTACTTGCAGCATTAGCATCTTTTTTATTTGAGCTTGTGATCCGTGACAGCGGGCCTTGCACTCGCCTCCTGAAAGCACGTTCTATTTTGGTTGTATCATAACCACACTGACTGCAGGCACATGTGAGGGTGCGAAGGCCGTGAAAATGTTGTTCCTCTGATCTCTGCTGCTGACAGACAGCTGTCCCCGGCCTTACCTGACCGATCCCCCCCTCACCGTGGACGACACTTTTACGGCTCAGAACCGGAGCAAAGGAGGCATGTGCCGGCAGTTTTTTGTGTTATACTGAAGGTCAGCGAGTTCTTAGCGTCCACATAGATGTTACACATGTGCCTGTGGCTGTAAAAGCTTGAACAAAGTGAGATTGAAGTCCTGTTTGCATGTGCCGGGCCTGCACGCTGTTGATAAACACAAACCTGTTCCCCATTCTCAG